TTGACTGGTGTCAGACTTTGGACACTACTTTGAATACTATGGTTGGCCCACACGTACTACCCTGGTTGAAAGGAGATAGGATGCAAAGTAGAAAATGCAGCTTTTTGTTTTTAGACAGTTTTGTCTATTTATTAGTTCAGTTCTTAGAAAAAGGGATAGTGAAAAAAATCAAAGCCATTACCTTTGTCTAGACACAGTAAGTACTAAATCATTTCTTTGTTGCAGCAGATGATCTTCTTGGGCTTACAATGCTGTAAAGTCCTGACCAATTATCCTGCTGGAGATTCTTTCATGATATTACTCTGTGGATTTGCCCTACTCATGCTTCTGCCTTGTCTTCAGAATGGGCATTAATAGCAACTTTCTTCTCTGATCTATCCAGTTACTCTCATGGAATTCATACCAATACAATTCTGGAAATCCTTGTTGTTCTATTAAAGTGAAACTAGTTACAGCTTCAAAAGATATTGCCAGGGCAGAGGCAATGCAGCGAGCATTTGTGGACAAAGAGGGACAGAAAACGTGATGTTGCCTATCATGTCTAATATAAAACATGCACTTTCCTTCTTTATCTGAACTCAAAGCACACTCAAAATGTCATTCTACAGAACCATGATTTGTAAACTTGCTTGCATTTGGGCTTGCTTCTTCTAAGAATCAAGTTAAGACTAGTACAGAAATCTAGCTGAATTCTCCAGAAAGATAATTCCTGCATTAAGAAGCTTTCTTATTTGACACATCCCAACAGCAGATAAAAAATTCCCAAGTTATTAATACTGAGGGTCAGATGCTAATCACAGATGAACCACACACTTTGCTCTTATCACAAAAGTACCTTAAGTGGCAACACACAGGAATACACAAGTGAGCTTGGAATTTCACCTTGAAATACCTGTCCTCACTTTGCCCTGCGGAGCTGCATGATCCCCTCTCCCCGTTTAAGTGACAAACTGCTGGATGTTTCAATTCAAAGTGATTTAACAACCATCCTTTCCTAAATGTTGGAATTAAGTGTAAGGCTACGGCAAAGTCCTTCTTGCTGAGGACACCCAAAACAATCAGCTTCAAAGGGAGCAGTCCCTACCTAACTGTTCAGAGCTGTCTCAGAACACAGCTGATGGTTCCAGCTTTTCCTATAAGCTCATGCTCCACTAAAGCCCAGGTTTCCCATTCTTGTGGTAGGACCAGAAACACCTTTCTAGACCCATGAGCTTGTTCAGCATTTACACAACTCAAGAGACCACGTTGCAGAGACACTAAAGCAGAATGAACACAAGCCAGGTGAGGAACCTAAAGTATCATGGCTACATGAGCTTAAAAGTATAACAGGACAAATAAACGCAGGCACCATGGCACTAGTATGACCAGGCAGCTTTCAGGATCAGAGTCGCTCTCTCTGGTGCTATGGCATCCTCCGTAGACACATCACTTTATCACAAACAACCTGGGATGTGGCAGCCTTAGGGGTACACTGCACAGTGTCAACACATCCCTATCCCTAATGTACTCTGGAGATTTATCCAAGGACAAAAGCAGCTCAACAACTTCAGGTAATGGACTTCCAGAACATGATCATAACCACTAGCTGCCAAATGGGCAGGACATCTACCTCTCATCCTGGTCCTCAGTTCTCCCTCATAAGTGAGCTGGTAGTCAAGGTAAAAAAAGATGATGTCACCAAATATAGCCAATGAAAATCAAAAAGAAACCTTTTTCATCAGAAAGATAAGAATGATCCTGATATTTACAAGCAACAGCCCAAAACTTTCACTTAATATCTTGCAAAGCTCAGATCGTAACCATAACAACATCTAAATATTAGCTGGAAAAGGCTGTTGTCAGCCTTCTCTAGGACATGGTCCAAACGACTTTATTCTCACCTCCACGGAAAAGCCAGCAGGATGTAAAATGAATCCAACCACTTTGGCACTTACAAAGGAAACCTCATCGGTCAAACTGGGACAATCCTAAACTTCTCCTGTGAAACCATGTCTGCAGGAGGCTGGTGGGAAGGCCCCAAGGGGGACATCTCTTTATCAAAGTTTCTTTTAATTAATAGTATACACTGTCATATTAAACTCATACAAATTCCATACAAATCAATCTGGAGCTGTACACTTAACACTGGATCTGCAAGACGCACCCAGTTACTATTAAAATGGGTACCAGGAGGTTAAATGTAATGCTCCTTCTCAGAGTTACTTACACCGCCTTAGAATATTAAAAGTAAAGTTTTAGAACATCTGGTTTTCCTTTCCACTCCCTATGATATCATGTTTTCCAAGCACATTTAGCAGCTCACAGTAAAGATACAGGCAGACTAAACATACAGGGCGATGTAGAGTCAAGATGAAAATCCAAAGCCCTGGATGCAGCAAGTGTGTTGCCTATCTCCAAATTTCAGTTACATGAGTGGTAAATAAGGGTTTTCCCCACCCTTAGTAACTTGTGTATTCTTCAACCTTCTTCCTTGATGAGATAGCATATAACTGCCCTCCAGAGTTTCTCTGCCTTTGTAAATAAGCTTTCATGCATTATGGGATATTCAGAGTCCCTATACAGCAAAATTCACTTATAGCAAAAAATAATCATGTTTAACAGGGTCCGAATTTGTATGTACTTTTCTTTATTTCACTCCGGGAGATGAGATTCACCTTCCATGTTCCTCCTGCCTAAAAGGGAAAAACCACACTACAACCACTGCTTTTTACTGCTTGGTTTTGTGCCTCCTAGCCTAGAACTAGGGAAATTGGACCAAACCAGTTCCAGGGGACTGTGTTTTACCATGAATTTACACAGAAGAGAGGCTGTTACAAAAACTAAGAGCTCCCATTTTACTGATTTCACCCATGTATTTTAACACATCTTGATGCAACCTTTGTATCGTTTCCTCTTCACCTATTACTATTTTTACTGGGCCACATTCAAAACACAGATCAGTCAGCATGAACATACTTCTAAGGTTAGTACATACCCACATTTTATTCATGCACAAGAAACTGATTCATTTACGCTCACCAGTGAAGGAGCAGCAAACCTGGAAATCCAACATCAGTTTCTTGCTCCAAATCTTAATTTCTCCCATTCGTAAAAATATGGTTTGGAAATGCAAAGGGATGCCTTGAGAATCCCAACATGACACAGTCTTTGGCTTATTATTTCACATTTAATAGCAGTTTATATCATTGCAATTACTAAAGTGTACAAAAGAGGAAGAGCACATCTTAAAAGAAACTACTGACAAAATAGTCCCAGTGGTTATGCCCCAATTAAAACTTAATGACTAATCAATAAAACTATATCTTTCACCCTGATCCAGTTTGGAATGGTTTATGTATTTATATTGATCAGCTCAGACTTCATATAAAACAAATGTGAGAAGATCTTGCTTTGTGCTATTTTTATTACAGTTTTGTTGTAGCAAATCTCTAAATCCCCATCTTAATTATTTTACAGCTTAGTTCTCCTGTCACACCAAGAGCAGCAGAAAAGCCAGCAAAAAGCAAAACCTTACTAACTGAAAAATGGCTGTTACAGCATCACAGTTTCCACACCATAAAGTCATTTCAATCGCTATCACTATGTGTTTCCCTGGCCTTAGAGTAGCAAGAGCCAAACACCTAAGACAGCCCTGAGCAATTCCTTTAACTATGCTGCATCTCTGTTTATCAGTCTGAAAATGAAAGCAGTAAGTGCTCGAGCTGTGAGGCTCACAGGACCACAGACCACCTTGGAAAAACCAGGCAACCGGTTCTGTAATCATGCAAGGAGTCATCTGAAGCCAACTGCTGATAAGTCACATCCAGTTATAGTTTTCTCTCAGAATTCTCACAGGCAGAGGAAGTATATTATAAATAACCCACTTGGGAGAGAAGAGACTGGTTTTTCAGTGGATTTTATCACAGAGCACTGGCACCTCTTCATGAGCCCAATCGTTATTTTGCTCAATTCTGAAACAGCACTTGAGAAGCCTAGAACCCCTCTTGGATCTGCTGTCCCATGAGATATCAGGCAAGCAAATTTATAAGGGCTATGCATCGCCCTAGCGATGAAGAATCTCACGCTGATTGCTAACAGCCTTTAGAGAATTTCCATGGAAGCAAGTTCAGTGCATGGCCTGAAGTTAGAAATCATAACCTGACAACACAGGCTCTAATCAAGATCAAAAAAAAACCCCATCTGAGGCAGCAACACAAACATATTCCACAGCCTTAAGTCACCTTCTATCTACTCCTGCCTATAACCACTACCAGAGCGGTTATGGGGTGCTGTTTTCACCTGTCTTCATGTGCTTGGTATGTTAAATTAAATTCCCTGGCTAAGTCCCATTCAATCTCATCAGAATCATTTCAACAGAAGAATAAAAATGACTTGGGAACCAAAAACTGAACCCACAGAGAGCAGGCAGAGCTGAACTGCTTCCTGTGGGAAGTGGCTGGGCCATGCTGCTATAACGAGGCACCTTGTGCTAAGTTAAAATGGCACAGATCCCTCTGAAGAATTTTGGTGAACATGGAGTATGTTTTATTCAGATAAGTCAAAGCAACCGTGCTCTTTCTGTTTGCAAATAATCTCAGGAACAGGTTTTAAAAACACCATATACGAGCTTCCAGGATAAAACAAGTGGATAAAGCATCTTCACTATTTACCTACAGACAAGTTTGTGTCTGGATCAGACAGGAACCGTCATCATTTGATGACACTGAGAAGTGCTCTTTCAACACTTGCTACAGTCCAAATAGACTTTGCTAGAACAGCAAATTCCTGTTACGGAGTGTCACAGACCAGCTCTTGCTGTGTTACTAACTCTTTTATTCACTTTGGAACAATCCTTACAAGTGCCAACACTCCATTAAAAAAGTAAGTAATATTTTTACAAGGACTCTCACAAGTAGAAAGATGATCACACTCAGAAGTAAGATATGACATGAAACCTGAGGTTTCATAACTGAATGATTTCATCTCCTCCCACAGACACAATATATGAACTTCTTTCTTACCACTTCCGCGAGGGAGGCAGCCACCATGTGTGTTGCTGGAGCCAAGTAGGATGTAGAGCCATGGTGCAGCACAGATTTCACATTCTCATAGGTGATAAAAAACGCAGCAGCTGAAATTCAAGAACACATGCAGTCATTTAACTGTTCCTCCAGCACTAAACTAGCAGAAAAAAAACCATTTAGAGGTGGATTTTGTCACCCACTATTCTGCACATGTAGTTCAAAACAGGAATTTCTTTCCCCCAGAATGGTACCAACAGTCTATGGGATAATTCCTGCAGAACTTTATGCTTCTGGCTATCACCGGAAAACCTCCTATTAATATTAAAGATGTCAGGACTTTAAGGCCATACTTAGTACTGAGGTAAGGGAAGATGCGTTATGAATTAGTCAAGAACGTCCAGTATGTTTGGGGGGAGAAAAGGTATCTTCCACCATTCCTAGATAGGAAGGCTGTTAGATTGAATTAGATGGTCTTTAATGGGGGGGGGGGGGGGGGGGGGGGGGAGGAAAAAAAA